TGTGTGGGCTGATTTGTAACAAGGTGGGGCGTCCCTCCAAAGTCAAGTTCAGAGCGATCCCTGTATCTCGCGGTGATCAGTTCTGAGTGCAGTCGTCTGTCTTCCATCTATCAGCAGGCCTGTGTGCCTGGCCGGCCTTGGCCCGGGCTGCCTGTCGTGAACTGTTTATCCTAGCAACTGAGTTGTCGCCAGGGAAAAAAAGCTTTGCGTTATTGTGTACTTGGCATGGCAGAGAGGACTGTATGTAACGGAACTAAAGATTTGAAAGCAAAACAGGTTTGTTAAAAGGTGTTTCCTGCTACGCACACTTTTTAAGTTACAGGATGCTATAGGTGCAGTGGTCTAGTGGTTGGAGTATTCTATTGTCAGGGACAAAGTAGTCTTATATGTAGCTTTGCAGTTGAAATTACTGATTGAAGTCCTGTATCCTCATGTTTTGAGGAGACTCACACCTTCAGCATGTTTAAGAACCCAGTGCACTTATGGATAAGAGTAGGGTTCACTGATTTTAGGATGATAACTTTTCTTTTAAGAAACAAGTAAAGAGGTTGTCATTATATTAAGTTGTCTTTCAAAGTCTAATGTTGGTAGCATGGCTATTTATATAAAAAGATAGCCCTTCATGCTAGTATTACATTCCAGCCCTATTCTTGGAAATTGGTTGTAGACATCATCTTTTCCTTCCATCATCAGATAAGCAATGCTTACACCTTGCCTGTCTTCTTGGTATGCACATCTTAAGATTACATAAGGCTGTGTTTACGTAAAACAGATAAGAAACTGTTGTCACCACTTTGATAAAGATATCAGATGGCACCTCACCTTTCTTACACTCTTATCAAGGCATAAATCCATTCTGTTTATTTGTGGGAAATATTTTCACATCTGGTTAAGGTGTTCTTGTAGGTTGTATTTTTGGGGCCGTATTTTTAGGACCTGGTATCTGGTGGGGTAGGCTCGGCAGCGTCCTTGGTCTAAGCATGTCTTTCAGTCCTGTCATTCATCCGATATTGCGGCAATAAGATAAGGATGTTGTTTTGTCTGGGCGAGATTTTCCCAGAGAATGTCCTGCTGTTACTCGCTGTCTTGACAAAACTTGGAAGTCGTTACATGACGGATCACCTGGTGTGAAAGTCAAGTCCAAGGTCGGAGGAGACACTATTGATGTAATGAGGGGTTCTGGGATTGGTCACCTGACGGTTGTGCTAACAAATCGTGGCATCACACTGGATCTGGTTTCAAGTATTTTTGGACACCATAAAACAAACTTTTAAAGATAAATTCTAAGATCAGATTGCAGTCTCTGTCCGTAACTAAAGGTCTCCCTGTAGGCGACTGTGAGTAATAAGGGCAATGTGAGTTAACCTGTTCAGAAAGTCTGTCAGAGGCATCCGAAGAAAAAAAAATGGTTATAATAATGATACTGTATTATACTTAAATATACTGATTGACATACTGGTTCCTTTCGCATGTAACCTGGCAGGTAAATGATATTGGAGGTTAGTGAAAAGTAAAATGTTGTTAGGAGTCAGAAATACCTTCGGATCTTGAAAATACCGTCAAGAATGTCTTAGTGTTAGTGAAAAGTAAGCTCTCCCTCTGCCTTACGTCAAACCCATAGAGGTGCAATCCTTCTGACCCAAGGAACTCTAGACTTTAAATCCTAGATTTTCTTGTAAGACCTTCTAAAGCATTATCTTCTAAGTAAACAGACTAATCTTGGGCCCCCCTCCCACTGCTAGTTGGTGCTAATGCAGTTCACTCAACTCTCTGACCGTGGCCTCAATTTATTTTGTATCTTGAGGTTCTCTGTCTCTGCTGACAGTTGTCAAGGCTCCCACACAAGGGAGTAGGTTCCCTATGGCTCAGTTGGGAAAACACATTCAAGTCTTGTCCTGATAAGATGCTAGCTATTTTCTTTTATTAGTATTGAATTAAAGAGGCAATTGTCTGTGACTGGATGTCCTGTTAGGCCTGGGTTATAGTTTAGCTATATAGGAACTGACACAAGCTGAACAATGTTAGAATTCAGGCCGGTTTTCTGGTTGACATTGAAGTTCCTAACACGTCATAACCTTACACTTGAACTGTTAAAGACTAAATATGTTACCCTGCAACAAACAGGACATAAGAGGTGGCAGCGCCCTGTTTATTTAACGTGGCCTGCCTTCCACGTCGTGACTGGTTATGCGCATCATACCGCAGACATTGTCTCAACCAAAAGCGAGAGAAAAACAGTGGGGAGCACGGACCCTGAACTTAACCTTGTCCATTCCATGGTTGGGAAACTGTCCATGCATTCGCTGTTTATTTTCACATGTCAGGTATCATAGTCTCGCCACACTTCTCAAAAACCAAGGACAAGTTCCATATGCTGGTGTGAAAATATTATGTGGGGAAACATTTTTGTTTCTCCACATTCCAGAATGTAGTTTTAATAGGCTTTATCTTCATGTGTGTCCAAGGATGTGTTGAATGAACACAGTATAAAAGATCGTCCATTGTTTAATCATGATTGTGCGGCTTTTCTGGAAACATAGAACAACACATGGAAGGACAAGATGGCATATGTCGACTGAAAATTAAAATAACACGCTAATATACATTTTTGTAGTCCATTGTGCAATCAGAAATTTAGGGCAATGAAAGTGCTATCTTGTCCTCCCATTGTTTTATTTTCTGGAGAAGCCCTGTATCAACATTTCTTTCTCTCTGTTTCTCTTGTGTGTCTCCCCTTCCCCTCTCCCTTTCTGTGTCCATCCTACCCTCCTGGTGATGACTATGCGTCAACTTGGAACTCATCCCCAGACACAGGTGATATACATAATGTATATGCAGATCAAGCGTTTGCAGCGCTGCGCATAGAAGTGACCTCATGCTTTTGCCTCTGACTACAGATCCCCTCAAATTTCATACATGGCAGAATTTTAACATGATAACATGGGCATGCTTTTCTACACTTTGACATATTGAAGAGAATAATAATCTAACAACTTATTCTGAGTTGACCCTCTTGCAGCTACAACAACGTTTTTCAATTAGCCATGACCCACAGCAAACAGAAGAGTTCAAGGCGCGCATGTCAGACAAAGAGAGCAGTGTTATTCCCCAAACTTGTTTATTGTCAGTTCACAACAATTTCATACCAAGCTGTCTGGTGTTGTAAAGGTAAACTTTGCTCATCCATCCATCAAATGGATGTTGGGACAGAAGAGGGCCTAGGATTGTTATGCATTGAAGTACACTGCCAAAAGAGTGGACTTCCCAAACATCAGTCTAAAACAGGACAGCTGGGATGCCTTAGAAATGAGCTTATTATTGTAGAACTTGAACACAAATTATGTTTAACCTTCTTGTAGCCTCTTGTAGCCAATACAAATTTGATGCTGAATGGTTACCTTGGCAAGTTCAAAGTTAAACGAAAGCCAAGTTGGCAACAAAACCTCTTTTTGGATCATGGAAAATGCATTGTGAGCTATACAAAACAGAAGTAAAGTAACATATTCTGAGACCTTCATGTTCTGCCAGTCCAGGTGTCTCCTTTTAAGACTACTTCTAATCAGAATCTTAAACCATGCCCTTCCCCACTGTGCCAGCTGATTTAAGCCCAACAACTTCCAGTTGCTTATTTGCACAGTTAAACCTGGCTGGTTCGTGCTTCTCCCTAATTTTGAGATTGACGTGACATCATTTTAAAATCTGCATCAGTCAGTCTAAATTAAATGAACATCAATGGGAGATTTCCCTGCAATATTTAGTTTGTTTTCTGAGACAACATCCCATACTGAGCGGTCAGATAGACCATCAAGGTGGGGGCAAAAGGTTGTATTTTGTGCAGTAGGGTCAGGTTTACCAGGGAAGGAAGAGGACACAAATGGGATGTTTTATCCTAAATTATTAAAACATGTAGGTCCAGGTTAATTGGATGGAAAGTCTGATGACACAGTGCAGCAATGACAGTTTTATCGTCATGCATTCCTGCTGACGGTTCGGAAGTTTTGGTTCAAAGCTGCTCTAAACCTTGAGGTCAAAAGATGAGCCTAGAATGCCTGGTTGCTTACTGGTCACTGTTTTGAAGGAAGAACGTATTTATTTTGTAGCCAATTGGGTGTGACCTGAAGGACAACCAAGAAGGCCACCTCCTGGCCTGACCTGTTGAAGAACAGTTGTGTGCATGTGAGGGATGAAGTAGAAGTACAGACAATGTCAGCACAAAAGGAATCCATTGTATTGAGATGGAACTATTACCTTCAAGATGTCGAACATGGAACAGAATGTGTGGACAGACTAGTTATTGGCTTGACTTGTGTATGACTGAGCAGTTTGTGCTTGTGCCTGAGAGCTTTGACAGCTTAATGCTTCTTTACTAATGAGAAAAGTAGAAGAAATCATAACCATATTGTAAAGTGATTTGTGATTTGACGCATAAATCTGTATAGTATACATATAGTATACGGTTGCAATTCAATTTTCACATGCTACAACCATGTACAAATGTACCAATGTATTAGCAATGTACAGGTACTGTTCTGAAATAAACCATTGATCAATTGATTGATCAATATTTGTTTGATTGATCCACAGGTGGGAACGCCCTGCCTAACCAGGTGTTCCGGCTGAACTGGTGCTGGATCTCTGTGGAGAAGGACCAGTACACCGTGGACGAGAACACCAAGTACCTGGTGGTCAACC